AAAAAAAAAAAACACCCTTTGTATCCATATGGGAAGCTCTTTGAGAGACTAAGCTATGGTCGTGAATCGGATTTCAAAGTGCAGCAGCGCATCGAAAAGGGAACTCGTGCGAGGGTTTTTTTCGCGGCGATTTGCGCAGTCGGAGTCGAGGGAGAGGAGATGAAGTGGAGCTTGCTGTGTCTCGTCCTTCTGCTGGCATCCGCGATGGCTGCATTGGCCGGCGACGTCGCCGACGGGGAACGACGGGAAGGAAATATAAGGACAGTGACGGACTATTCGACCAAAACTTCGTGGCCGGAGGTGGTGGGCATGACCGGTGACGATGCGAAGAGGAAGATCAAAGACGAGAGGCCAGACCTGCTCACGTTCGTCGTGCATCACAAATCGTCAATGATTTTAGATTATCGGCTCGACAGAGTACGCATTCTCGTCGATGGCAGCTCGAAGGTTGTGACGACCCCGTCGATTGGCTAACAAGCAAAAGAAGACGAGGCTTAGATCAGTCCTAAGACTCCTAAATCATGTGGTGCAAGGGGGGGGGGGGGAGAGGGAGTGGAGTGTGTCGATCATGTGACAGCATATGTATATTATCAACGAAGGCAAAAGAGAATTGAAAAAAAACAACAACAAGGCAGCTGAATGTAAATGAGAAGGAAAAAAAAAATCATTGCAGTGCCGGAGACAAGGGAAAAGGAGGTAGGGAGGGACGGAGGTGGGTACAGGAGGGAGGGAGGGTGTGGGAGGGAGGAATGGAGGAGGGAGAGAGGTGTACAGTGTACGAAGTCGAGGAGAGGGATATGGTTTTCATGTTGTAGATTGTTGCACTACGGGGTAGTAGAATAGGTCGAATAAGAAAATAATAAATATAGAAGGGAACACCTAGCATGTCTCAAGCTCGTGTCCGTAGCATTTGACACTGTTTGTAAATTGTTAGAAAATAGTAAAAATACTAAAATAGTAAAATACTAAGATAGCCCTAGGTCAGTTGGTACACACTTGAACTGATGAAATATAGACCTTGAGTTCGAATCCAGTTGAACGGTGAGGGCCTGTGTGTAGGTGACCCTGTTTTTTTTTTTTTTTTTTGGTAACTCTTTTTACTAGTCAAACCTGCTTG